GATACACTGCTCAAATTCTAAACCAACTGCTTCCATTGCCGAGATACCGGGTGCTCATATTATAAGGTAAGGTTATAAAACCACCTTTTAAGATCATTTTAGTGAAAGTTTCATGTTCCTATCTCATATAATTTAAGAACAATGATGAATAAATCATTTTCGAGCAAAATTTAAATGGTCGGCTGAATATATTACCGCCAGAGAGACACGGCAGCGGAATTTAAATGACCGCGCAAAAGGGTTAATGAGGGTCACATATGTATATGTGTTTCATAAGCCATTTTTTTTAAATTTAATAAAATACACTTTTATGCATATAGAATGTTGATAGACATCAAAGTGTGGATCTTTCCATTCATGCAGTCTCTTAAGTTGTGCACTTTCTGTTTAGATAATTATAGTGGTCATATAAGATTATTTGTGTTTGCTTACTGTAATGATATGAAGACAGGAAATTGCATGTCGTATTTGTGCACTCTTTCAGATATTGTGGAAGCTATCACACCCCACAGGCTTCTGAGATTGAGACAGCTTTTGAACTCCAGTGCTATGGATATCATGTATTATACCAGTCCACTGTATTGCTGTGAGGTGAGTTGTGAAAGTGGTCTGATAACAGACATGTGCGTCAACATCTTCTAGACCACTTGGAAGTGTCAGGTTTAGGTGGGAGCTCAGTAATTAAAATGGATCTTAAATCCAGTGTGAGGATGTATACTGGAGTCATGTGACTCATGATAAGGACCTATGGTGGCTCTTCTGAGTACAGTAGTGAAGCTTTGTATTTTATAAAACTGGGGAATTTCTTGAATATCTGAGTAACTGTTAGCTGCTCAAGGGCTGTTCCATGGAATTCATGTAACACATCACAATATTCACTTCCAACATTGGAAGTTGCTGGTGAAGTGAGCATGCTGTCTGATTGTAATGGCTTACAATATCTTAGTCAGTGATATAAATCACTGGTATTCAACCTTTTTTATTTGCATACCCTCAGATATAGTTTCTCTTCAACTTTGTACCCCCACAGTTGTTTGTGTATATTTCAAGTTATGCACAGTCTGTAATTTACATCTGAAACAAATTAAATACATTACATCCAAAATAATGTATTAAGTAATAAATTTCAAATTGAAAAAAGGAGAATCAAGTTATTAAATAACATATATTATTGCCTATCATATAAAAATTATTAAAGGAACAAAGGTTATTTTAACAAAGAAAAATGATGACTAATTAATGTGATTCTGACCAGCTTGTTTCTGTCACACCAGCATGTCAATATGGGGACAAATTTTAATTTTACATATCCTGTAAGATATCTTCGCATGCTCCTGGGTGTAAGTATACCCCAGGTTGAAGAACATTGATATATAAATGCATATTTCCCAGACCTTAAGATTAGAATTTTTACTTTTTCAAAACAATTGGCCATTATATATTCATGAATGAAGAAGTCTGCATGTAAATTATATTACAATGAATTTTGGCAAACTATTTGGCAACTGTGGCATATTTCTAAACTCACATAAATCAGAAAATATTTGAAAGAGAGTAATCACTGGATTTTCATTCTCATTTCTGCCATATTTACACGCTCTACTTATGAGGTACATTATGTAGTGATGTAATGTCATTAGATGGGAATCTGTATGTCCATCTTTACAAATACTTATCCAAATAGAATGAAACTTGAAGTGGAAATATGCTCTTACTGTATACATACCAACGTCATGAGGTACCCACAAATGGATAGAAACTTCTGAGACCAAGTGGACAGTTTTGTTTTCATGCTTTGCCAAAAATGAGTTATACTGTTATATAGATTATGAAGAGTCTGATCTTCTACTGAACTCTATGGCATTAGAGTCAAGAAGATAATATTCTTTTTGGTCACTGCTTGCAACATTATTGAGATTGTTTTGTGTGGAATTTGTAGGTACTGTGTAGAATTCTTAGGTAAAAGTACTCATAGGTAATAGTTAATCAGAATCATAATATTTTGTACTTTGCCAAATATGCAAACATGAATGGGCACTTGTAGTTTGCCTAGGTATTGTAAAGATTGACTGGTATTCACATGTCTGTGTTGACCTTTATGCTGCAGGTTCAGCATGGACTTTCAGAGGAATTGAACAGATTATACACAATGTTCACTCAGCGAAACCCACATTTCATATCCAATGGTGGCAAAGTATCTGTGATTGCACATTCTCTGGGATGTGTTATTGTGTATGATATTGTGACTGGATGGAGGCCAGATTCTTGGCAGGTAAATAAATGTTAACAGAATGTATTTTAAGTATTATGTAGATATTTTTGCATATGATAGTAAACTAATAGGGGAATGAATAATCTTATATAGAGTAATGGGAAGCTTTATGATTTGTGCTGTTCACTTGGTATTATTAGAATCATTAAATGAAGGATGTTGAATTTGGCCTTGCATGTAGTCCATATTGGAGAATAGAGTCCAATAGAAAAATTTCAAATATGACTTAGCTCATGGACACAACTATACAGTGAGGTGTAACAGAATATTTATCATGCTACTTCCAGCAGTTAGTCTATTTTCACCCAAGATGTAAGTTTTTTCTGCTATATTTTTATTCTCGTTCTATTGATATTTCATTGTGAGATCTCTCTTCTGTGTGACAGAAACTACAAAAATAAATATACTATACAGTTTTTTGTCAGAAATTTCTGGCAACAGATGTTTAACACAGTGTATATTCGAATTTTCAGTCAGCCTGAATAAATTATGAAATAATTATGTCAGTCCTTACTTTCTTTAATTACAAAAGCAGTGTGTGAAGATTATGTTTTGATGTAATTAACACTGTACTTCTCCAAAGACGGTAAAACATGCAAAAATCAAAAGGGTTTCACCTCTTCTAGTACTGTAAAATGTAGTACAGTCTCATTTTAGAACATAAATATATGGTAAATAATTGGGATGATATCAATACACACTAGTGTTTTATATGAAGCAGATAAAATATTAACCTTTCCGGTCATATGTCGATATATAATCAACAGTGTGTAGTGCTTCCATGGACGAATGTCGATATGATTGAGATAGTTTGCTTCCATGGACAAATGTCGATATGATTGACAAAGTGTCTTTTGTGTTTCTCTGGTCATACATTGATCGTATGTCACTACTGGCCATTGTAGTCCTTGCTAATGCATTCATGAATGTTTTCTGCACCTTCTTCTGCCATCTGGAAGTCATTATTTGAACTTCTTGAGGAACGAATGCCATTTATATATTACAGCACATTATGTGTTAGTAGCGTGCTTTTATGTTCGGCTGAACCTTGGCCTTCTGGATTGAAGAAACTGAGATATAATCCTTCGTGTGATGCGGATGAAGAATCTAGTAGTGATATGTTAAGTGAAGGACTCATTATTGACTCTGATGTGATTAATTTGGAAATTGAAGGGGAAACTGCGAGTGATGAATTGAGCTTCCAAATGTTGGAAAGTGACAGTGAAAGTGAAACAAGTATTGTTGCATGTTGATAGGTGGGAAGGCTAGACAGTGGGTGACAAGAACCTCGAGACATACACATTTACTAAACTTCTGCCAGATGCAGAGCCCATGGATTATTTTATTTTATATTTCAATGATGAGCTTTTGAATAACATTGTTATAGAGGCAAACAGGTATGCGAGATACAAAATCGACGAACTTCAAGTAAGCCCAGATAAAATTTTTTGGTGACATAATGTCAAGAGATCGCTTTTTACAGATAATTTGGATGATGCACGTGGGGAAATGATACCACCAAAGAAAGCAGTTGTATCATAAAAAAACAAAGAAAGTACATGGGTGACAGACTATATAGAGAAACAGTTTCAGAAAAATTTTGTGCCAGGTAAAAGCATTGCAAGTAGATGAATCGTCAGTTGGGTAAAGGTAGAAGGTAAAGTTGCCCCTGTGCTTACCTAAATAAGCATTACCCCATGATGGCATGTGAGGGAGGAGATGTATAGATCCACATTTTCTTGACCTTAGCACTAGCTGGAGGTGAGTGGTCAGCTTCACGCCCCGGCCACTTTACCCCCAGGAAAGAGGCCCCTGTACCCATTGGATAGGAGACTGGGTGACATGGAGGAGAGAAAATTCTTGCCTCCCTCAGCAGTTGGGTTCAAACACAAAATAATTTGCAAAATTTAAAATCCAGAAAACCAGCGAAGTTGGGCATCAGATTATTTGTATTAGCTGAAAGCGACACTGGTTATGCTCACAGTAAAATTCCAAATTATGGAAAACTTACAGTCGACAAGTGTAACTAGCCATATTATGAAAATCCGTTCATTTCAAGAATATTTCTTTTCTTGATGGACAGACTAGGATTCATTGTGTCTGGTATTGAAGACTACAACATTTTCACTGACAGATATTATAGCAGTGTTGATTTGGCCCAAGAATTGGACAATCAAAAATATAAGTACACATTTTGCTTTTTTTTTTTTTACTTTATGCCCTTGTTGCGTCAACTTTTCGAGCAAAACCAGTCATTTAGTGACACTGGGGGGGGGAATAAACAAAGAAACAAAGTCCAAACTGTGGTTTTAGTCTGCTAGCGAACTATACCGACCGAGTGACCGCCGCTTGTAAACAAAGTTGGTGGCAACTTTAGCGGATAGAGAGTGTTACGTGGTCGGCGCAACAAATCCCTAGGGCCGTTAATTTCTGTTTTCTAGACTGGAGCCACTATTTCCTTGAATTAGCTCCTTATCATCACGAGGCTGAGTGGCCCCCATTCAAGACCCACTACTTCTCAGAAAAAATCTGGTAGTGCCAGGAATCGAACCCGGACCTCTGGATCTGTAGCCAGGAACTCTGACCCCTATACCACAGAGGTGGTCTCAGTGACTTGCAGACATTTAAAAACCCGTGATATCTTGGCTGCAGATCTTTTTCATAATGCTACGACTGGGAAGGGTTAACATTAGATTATATAAAAGTAGCAATGCTAATATTCAGTTATAATGTTCAAAGAAAAGTTTAGTTAATTAAAACATATATTTTAGTTGTATAGATGAGAAAGATTGTTAGAAATGGATGATCTATATTCTGGCAGATGGAACTAAACATTATTTCTTACATCTGGTCTGTGTAGAATGGTAACCACTATTGTAAATGAGTAAAATATGTGACTTAATTTGTTTCACAGTCTGTAAGATGAACTTTTCTCTATCAGAAATGGCCCCAAAAAATCACATTATGTCGCCATGGTTAACATAATAAACATAACTGCCATCTCTGAAGAAAAGCTGAAATTATGTACTAACTGAAAAGAAGTCATAATTTTTTCTTCAGAAACCATTATGTGTATTACACACCCATTCATCTTACATACTAGGCAACATGGTGTCTGAATTAGAGGTACCAACATGCTGACATGTCTGCAGAGATCTGAAGTCCTTAATTTAATTTCCAAATTATTTGTGATTAAGACACTGTGGCATTACAAGTCAGAGGTCCACCATACGATTTTAAGTTAGTTCAGTACAGTTGTCATTACCTAAACTTCTTTCCTTATGAGCCAGTATAATATTATCCCCAAGCTTCATTTTCCAAATGGATGCTTTGCATGCAGTTATTCAAGTATGTGATCTGTCTCCCCTTCAAGTTAAGTTTCAGCCCCTCATAATGTGGTTGATTTAATTATCCTGCCATTATTAGAAGACTATAACATTCTTTGTTATGCACCTTGCACCTTATGCTCATTGTACAATTTCCAGTTTTATAAATAATGCACGATATTTTCTCCTAAGGTTGGTACTTTTTCTCGTACTGCTTGGAATGGTGAGGATTCGGAATTACCAGAAACACCAAGACATGAATTTATATCATCCAACAATTCATGCCTCCAATTTCAAGTAAGTAATAGTAAGATGAAGCAAAAAATTTAGTAATGCTCTTCATCAGACTTTCATTGTTTGCCATGCTACTGTGCTATTGAGTTGGAAAATTCCTGAGACCACACTGATCTGTGCAGGTAAATAATTTATGCCAGCCTCTAAAATTTACTAGACAGATTAAACTATACAATGTTTCCAAAGAATTTTCAAAATTCGGTCTTTGTCAAGAGTGTAAGATGTTTGGGGGAAATTTAAAGAAATATTGATCCAAATAACCTGTTCCTTTTTAAGGGAAACATCAATTTCAGAGCAATCTGTTAAGCTTATTTAAAGCAGTTTACCTGTTTTCATTCAGTCTGGAAACTGCATACATTGAGTTCCCAGTGATAGGGGGCCAGCCATTAGGAATTTTCAAGAATCTTTGTGCCTGTTGAAATTTGATAGCCTTATGAAAGATGAAAACTTCACTTAAGAAAAGATAAATTGAATTTTGAGGAAATTTATTTAGTAAGGTCAGTGTGTGGTGGCAGATAAAAAGTTTTTACAGGTAATCATAAAATAATATATTTAGCTGCTAATACTGTGTAGTAGAAAATAATAAACTGTTGTCAGACCTGGGAGGAATGGTGCTGTACAATAAGTTTAATAGTGACATTTTATTATATCAGGCTTGCAAAACTTTTGAACATTTGTACTTAACTGTATGATCTGTTTGAAACTCCCAAAGTTACTTAAAGTTCATCTCCTGGATGGCTCCAGGGACCCAGCTAGTGAAGAATGAGTTATTCCATATGTTCAGTACCAGAAGGACAGTAAAACTGGGAAGCCATTTTTGTTATGGTTAGAAATTTGTTTAAATAACAAGAGTGGGAATTTCTTAATGTAATGGAATTTTTCTGATTGATTGGACTGATTTGGCTAACTCATAAAATAGATTCTAAATGGTTCTGATGATGGTATATAACACTCAGGATTACTGGATTTTTGGACTTTGTCATCTGGTGACTGAGGTTAGCTCTTTCTAACAGACCCAACAGAATATGTGTTTCCCACACCTTCACCTGAGGATGGAAAGAGAACCAGTTTCCAAAATGTGTTTGTTAGAATACTGGATGATATATAGAGTCAAAAAACTCAGTAATCCTGAGTAACTCATGAAATTTTACAAAGACAAAAACAACACCATCCAGTGTGACTAAGTTTCATCCCTTGAAAACTCATCACCCTTACATGTTTTGATCCCTACGGATCATCCTCAGAGGGCATCAGTACTTTTTCCGGAAACTACTATTACAATAGGTGTTAAATTATACACATACACATGTAATGTCTGAAATACACAATGTACACAATGTTCAAATTTTCACAGTCACAGCAGCCTTCCTGGTTTTAAAATTTTAAAGTTTTTTAAAAACTTTGTTGTTTAAGATTAAAATTTTTCTAAGTTTTTAAAAAACTTTAAAATTTTAAAACCAGGAAGGCTGCTGTGACTGTGAAAAGTTGAACATTGTGTACATTGTGTATTTCAGACATTATATGTGTATGTATATAATTTAACACCTATTGTAATAGTAGGTTCCGGAAAAAGTATTGATGCTCTCTGAGGATGATCCGTAGGGATGGAAACATGTAAGGGTGATGAGTTTTCAAGTGATAAAACTTAAATAGTCACACCAGACGGTGTTGTTTTTGTCTTTGTAATTGTTAGTTAGACGGACCAGAATGAAACAAATCAAATTCATAAAATTTTAGTAAATTTGACCACTCCTGCTCTACTGCACATTTAGATATAAGTCCTTCTAGTTTTGCTGTTCAACTCTGTGTTCCACTTCTTGCTGTCTGTGTGCAACTTCAGTTAATATCCACTCTTCTTCTTCTCTGTCTCCTCCTTCTCTTTTTTCTTTTTGTCGCTGTCATCATCGTGTCACTACATGTTTCAGACTAAATGGTCATCATCAGGTGTACAAGTTGTGATGAAGGAATCTGCTGCTCTACTGTAATGATGTTCTGCTTTTTTTCTGTGTAAGTGCCTCTTACTATTCTAGGTTATATGGGTTACCATGCTGTTGCCATGTGCAAAACATTCAGGACAGCTACACACTGTACCAAAGAAAAATCAGCAAAACCATAAACGAAACACATGCATGGCAACAGCACAGTAACCAATGTAACCTAGAATAGTCTGAGGCATTTACACAGAAGAAAAGCAGAACAACATTACAGTAATGGACTTGAAAGGATTCTGACGATGGTGTATGCTTTACAGAACTATTAGGCTTATTTTGGACTCTATCCATTGTCTTCTATATACCAGACGATGGATAGAGTCCAAAATAAGCCTAATAGTTCTGATACATGAGAAGGAGAAGAAGAAGGGTGGATATGAACTGAAGTTGCACACAGATGGCAAGGAATGGAAGACAAAGTTAGATCTAGACAGTGCAACAGGATGCTCCAATATAATATTGCTGTTCAGGTTATATAGTCTTATTACTGTCATCATAAATTATTTTATTTTTGTGTGTTTCAGATTGATAATTTGTTTTGTCTGGGTTCCCCATTGTCAGTATTTTTGGCACTACGGGTGCGAAATCCACAGGCTCCTGGTCATGTTGAGACCATTCTGCCACCATTCCTGTGCAGTAGCTTCTACAATATTTTCTACCCCTCTGATCCAGTTGCATATAGGTATGACCGCTTATCTGTTCAAATTACTTGCTGGTATATGGTAGGATTGTTTAAATCAGTAGTATAGAAGTAGCAGGCCGTGCCATAGCTCAAGCAGATAGTCGCTGGCTTCCCACCATGGCAGCCCGGGTTCGATCCCGGGTCTGGCCAAGTGGGATTTGTGGTGGACAAAGTGGCGTTGGAGCTGCTAATCTTCATTCCACCAATTGCTCCACAATCGCCCTCACCTATCATCTGGGGCTGGTACAATAGGCCAGAAGTGGCCACAGTACAAGGGACTTAGTCCCACCCCGCTAGCAATAAAAAAAAATAGACGTAGCAGTATTGTTTATATACATAATCTATATTCACTGTGTCTGCCATTTTATACTACTAGCTGTCCAAGCTAGTGTAGCTCAGTCATGAATAGTGATTAGGCTGTGGGCTGGATGACCAAAGGATCAGGATTTGTTTCCTGGCCAAGGCAGAGATTTTTCTCTTTACCATAGTACCAGACCTACTCTGGGCTCTGTGGAGCCTCCTGTCCAGTGGATGTTAGGGCTCTTACCTTACAGGTAAACAGGTTGGCGCATGTTACTGACTACACATCATCTAGCATCAAAATAAGAAGGCATGACTTTATACACTCAACTCTGTATACATTTTAACCCTTCAGCGTGTTTTGCCGTACATGTTACGCGGGTATTTAAATGGTTCTACCTGCGATTTGCCGTACACCGTACGCCAAGCTGTAAGCTTAATTTCGAAGGCCCATAAATATGGAACGAACCACGCCAGCATGATGATGATTGCACCAGGCTGTTGTGAAAAAAATGCGCTCTCTGTTCGTGTTAACATAAATTCAATTTCCTGCAGCTCTGCCAGTCAGTCTAAATAGAACGCTGACCTCACAGTTACGATGGCCGAGTGACTATGATATCAACATACCACAAAGAAGATATGCGTGTGGTTGTGAATAAAGCAAACAAACAAGAAACAAACGAAGAATACACGGCGCCTAAACCCAGAAGACGACTTTCTTCAAAGCCCTTGGTTGTTTGTGATTACAACAGAAACATGCTAGGAGTGGATCTGATGGATCAAATGCTACAGCTGTACTTGCTTGAACGAAAGAAGAGTACTAAGTGGTATCAGAAGTTATTCAAGAGGCTACTCAATGTAGCAATACATAATGCAGTGGTCATATATTGGTGTCTCCCGAATAAGAAAAACATGGGCACGCTAAAGTTCAGACTTTCACTAGTACAAGGCCTCGTGGAAAATCACGGTTTTGGTTTTCCTCATCCTGTATACGGCCGTCCGTCAGTTGAGCCGCTGCCTAAAAGACTCACAGAATGACGTTCCCTGGAGCATATTCCAGCCAAAGGAAAAAAGGAAAGCCTAAAAAAGATGTGTGGTGTGTGCAAAACATGGTAAAGGAAAGAATTTATTTTTGGTGTAGTGAATGTGAGGCAGCGTTGTGTTTAGATGGATGTTTCAAGAAATACCATAAGAAACTCAACTTCTAATCCACTTGCTTCCATCGCTCAGATACAGGGCGCTCACATTATAAGATAAGATTATAAAACCATCTTTTAAGACGATTTCAGTGAAAAATTCATAATTATACCTCATATAGTTAAAAAGTTATGATACATAATATAATTTAGAGCAAAATTTAAATGGGCAATTAAAAATTACTATCGCAGGAGGCCCCACAACAGCGATATTTAAATACCCACGCTGAAGGGTTAATGATGTGCTTAAACAACAGTACTGACAACTTTGCTTTCTCTTATATCCAACTGTCCTCTGCTGTTAGAGGTAGAACTCTGTTGCGACAGTGGTAGGAAATATACATGTTTCATACCTCACAGTTACATGGTAAAAGTAAAGATGTTTCTCTGCTTCAATAATTAAGCATTATGCTTTTGAGATGTATGGTGGAATAAATGTATAGCTCTGCCATTCTTAACTTTGACACTTGGCAGATGTGAGTTGTAAGCTGCATACTCCTGCTTTATCCCCAGGGAAATAGCCCCATTCCCCATTGTATGGGAGGCTGGGTGGAACTCAGAACCAGTCCAGATGCTATGGAGATGAGAAAAATCTGTTACCTCTGCAAGGAACTGAGTCACTGTGATTTGGTCATCCAGTCTATAGCCTAGTTGTCATACCAACATTCAGGTCCACTTAACAGTGATTGAAAATTCTCTAGTGGCCTTTTTTACATGTGTATAGGATGTATGATAAGTGAATGCCTGTATTTTAATGCTTGTATATCATTTGTTTCAGTTAAATAAACTGCCTGTGACAGATGTATTCATTAAGGTTTTATGCCACTGACTTAAAATATCCACATACACTTAGGCATTTTCACTTTATTTTTTAATCAAAATGGTATGTTTGCCGTTGCTACTTAACTGAAACTTCTCATGTTGTGCAAGATGGGGAACTCTCACACTTTGCCAGTGATTTAGGAGAGTGGTTGCATCTGGATCTTCCTGACCTAACGTCATGTGTCTTCTCTGCAGGTGGGTACAGGAAGTTCTCCAAACAAACTGAAGAAACGTGGTTGAACTGGAAGAAAGAATAACCAATACTCTGAACCCCCTTCCTTCAAACATGCTTTGAGCAGCAGTGGCACACATACCAGTTCATGTAAAAAATTCCATCATCCTAGTGGCGGCATATATGGAGATTTTAAGTTAGGCATAAATCCTTATTGAACACTCATCAGCAGTTTGTTTCATACAATTAGGTAAAGAATCACATGATTTACAAGTATAGTAAGAAGTGGTAAAGTGGTTGAAATTATTAGTCACATTACCTCTTCTGATCTTGTAAATGTCGTGCACTGTCGTGTTCCTTTGAGAAATGGGAACTTGGTGCTACAGAAAATTCATGTGGCCATGACCAAATGCAGGAAACTGCCATTGAAGATTTCTTTCATGGGGTGATAGATTTGAATGCTGAGGTAAAAGGTTACTGACTTGGGATCATTGAAATTCAGTGCTACATGAGAGAAAAGCTTAAATTTAGGAATGTTAAATGGTGCTCCACTGTACAATGAATACAAATGTTGGAGGCATATGAGGGGAGTAAGAACTCGCACATTCTCAGTCCGGGCACCAAGCAGGTTGGTGTAGCTCTAATGCTTCAGATATGTATTTTGGAGGTTCCCAGTTCAAATCCTGACTAGGGCACCAGCTGTCCTAACTGAAATATTTCATGATCCTGCCAGGAAATTGTCAGGATAGTACGTCCTTCCAGAGTGTTTCCCTTTCATCATTCACTGATCATCATAGCATTTAACACCATATAGGGCAGCATCATGAAAGAACCCACAAAAAGAAAATAGTCTGGGTGCTTAACAGAAGTGAGATTTCTGCTTGATGCTCTGGTCTTTGTAATCCTAAGGACGGAGCCCCTACTTCTTAGTTGAAGAGTTTCCAGAGCATTTTCAGACAGTGGTGAAGAGGAAGATCATGGCAGTCCAACTGTAGCTGTTAATTTTACTGACAGAATGATCACAGGTCTGAAACATGAACAGTGTGTTTCAGTTTAATATTTTCAGTGAATAGTTGATTTTCATTATTAAATTCGATATGAGGCTTATTTTTATATGACAGTATGATTATGAAACTAAGGGAAATGGGCATAAAAAGTTGGAATTATCAAGTCAGTAAATAAAAGCACAAATGTAAGTTTATATATTAAATGGAAACTCCTTGATTACAAACTTCATGTTGTCTTTCTGCAAAATTTCTTCTTCACACTTCTTAATTTTGGTGGGAAAATCTGTTGAAAGTGGCCAGTTGGAAGGCCATAACAAGAAATTAGTATCACAACAGGTATCAGAGAGGTAGTTATGAGGGTATGAAATAGATTTAGTTGCCAGATTTGGACCAGTGGCAGATATTAATATGGAATTTGAAGTTCTCACAGTGATGGTTGTGAGGAATATTGTCTTTTGGTGGGATGTGATGCCGTGCAGTCTGGTAGAAGTTTGCCAATGTTTGTCCAAAACTTTGGTAAGCATCCACCAGACTACACAGTGTCATATGGCTAGAAAACAGTATTCCTCGGATGTCTTTATGTGAGTGATGTTGAACTTTCAAATTATAATACTAGATATGACACCTGTTGTTCAATGAGAATATTTAAAAGTCCATAGAATTGTGGATTGTATACACAAGTTCTCTTTATTGTAGGATGGAACCTCTTCTGTTGCGTGATTACAGCCGAATTGCTCCACTACAGATACAGGCTTATGATGTTGCCACTCATGTACACTATAAAGACATGCCTCTTGAACCAACAGATCCTGAAATAACAGTTGGTGGCAGTGCTGGTACCTCAACTGTAACTAAACGTCAGGAAGGAGTAGATGAACTGGGAGCTGATTCTCCTAGCAACACTCCTACCAAAGGTATAGAAATTTCATATTGAATTCTGTGGAAAACTTTTAGAGAAGTTCATGATGTACAAATACAGTGGAACTACAATGTAATTAGAACTGAAAACAGTCGCAAAAGCTATCGAGAGGAGTCATGCAGTAGAGTTCATATTGCAGCACTGGGAAGCATAACAAATGTAGTACAAATGTGAGCAGGAAGTGAGACATGCTTGTAAGCATATACTCTGCAAGTTTACACAGGTGATAATGCTTCTGACCTATGTTTGGGAGGTGCTTGGTTCCACATGGTTGTTCTGTCACTCCAAGTGCTGGCTACTACCTCGGACTATGACCAGTTTCTTCCACACCCCTTCAAGTTCGCCATTAACTGTAATCCAATCATTGAACTTGATGTCTAAGTTACTAACAGCATCAGTAATTAAATTACAAATAAAATCTCTAAACTCGTAGTATGGTGCTGAAATACTCAAATAACTGGCCGATCTACCTAGCATTGGCCAGGAGTAATGCACAAGCATAATTAGGAAGTGTAGTACATAGGAAGGTATATTGTTCATCTAATTCAGGCATGTCCAATGCATCGATCATGATCGACCGGTCAATTTTTGGTCAATCTCATAGGCCTATAAGGAAAGTATATGTGAAAAGCATGTAAATTCACTTGTAATATAATAAGATTATATTCAGATTTTGAAGGGAAAATATGTGTTAAAGTAGTCTGTACTTTCAATGTATGTTGCTTTTACAACAAACATCATGTGTGTTATTTTTACCAATATTTTTGCTTAAAGTGAGGTACAACAATAGGAGGGGGTGGTAGATCACTGGCAGTTTTGACACTAAAAGGTCGATCACAACCTGTTTGAAATTGGACATGTCTGATCTAAATGATGTTATTTTAAGTAATAAAATTGTAAAGAAAGTAACTGATCCATTGTGGTTATAAATTGGGGTTATATTTGTATAATTGGAAAATAAATATCTCAGGAATTACAACAGATAGACATATAGAGTAAGCAAGGAATTCTTTTCTAAGCTGTGTTGAATGTAAGTACCTCATTATGCTAGGATGAAGGGTTCTTGAGCAATAATCAAAGACCATGTATCTGGGGTATCCACCCCGGGGTGGTCCTCTACCATCATGCAGGATTGAGTCAAAATAGGTCATTGGTTTGGAAATGTATAAACAATGATGAAACAGACACTCTTTATACATGTATATACCAAGACATCTGCCTAATGTTTCCTGTGCATAAAGAACATGTATAAGAAACAAAAATGTATAATGAACCTAGCAACACTAGAAGCTGGTTTGTGTTTTCCCTTGTTCTACCAAGAGCAGAAGATAGTTTGAGTTTATCCCATACTGTAGTAATGGAAGAAGTTTGGGATTTCCCCCATATCCTATTAACAGCAGATGCTTCCTCATGGCAGCAGCAGAAGATAGTTTGTGTTTTACCCCATATCCCTTTTCCCATTGTTGTCGCAGTTCCACTGACTTTCTTACACAGGAAGTAATTGGGAAATAAGATGATGACAGAAGGTACTAATTTGGGTGTTTCCATTTATCTTAGTAACACCAAAAGATAGGTTGGGTTTTCCCCCATATTCTAGCACTAGAAAAAGATGGTTTGGGGTTTTCCCATTGTTGTCATGAACCCATTGTTATCATAATCTCAATCTGTTCTAGAGGAAGTAATGGGGAAATAAGTTGGCTTGTACTTGGCTGTATGCACATTTATTGTCTAAAACATTGCTAGGGAGGTCCTTTGCTATCATGCCAGATTTGGCCAAAATAGGTGCAGTTGTTTGGATGTTCATAAGGAACAAACAGACACACTTTTTACATGGTGCAATCCAAAAGTTCCCGAAATATATTAATAAAAACTATTACATCTTACCTAGATCTTATTCTGCACCATCACCTTCAAAGTAGTCCCCTTGGGAGCGCATACACCGATCCCAGCGTTTCTGCCACTTTTCAAATGCATCCTGGAAGTCTTTCTTTGTTAGGGTGTTTAGTACCGTCTGTGTTTCCACTTGAATTTCCTCAACTGTATCAAATCTTTGCCCCTTCAACTTGATTTTCATCTTGGGGAAGAGAAAGAAGTTGCATGGAGCTAAGTCTGGCGAGTACAGTGGGTGGGGAACGACTGCCATCTTGTTTTAAGCCAACAATTCCTGCACAATGTAAGCCGTATGTGGTCGTGCGTTGTCATGGTGGAGTACCCAGTCATTCATGCGCCACTTCTCTGGACGTTTTCTCCTCATGTCCTCCCTCAAACACTTTAGAACATCGCGATAGAACTCTTTATTGACTGTCTGACCAGGAGGGACGAACTCCTTATGAACAATTCTGTCAGTATCAAAAAAACAGATCAACATGGACTTAATGTTGCTCTTGACTTGTCAAGCTTTTTTTTGGCCAAGGTGAAGAAGGGCTCTTCCATTGCGACGATTGCTGCTTGCTTTCAGGGTCGTAGCCATAAACCCAACTTTCGTCACCAGTGACAACCTTCGAAAGAAAGTTCGGATTCTCTTGAAGCGGTTGCTGAAGTTCCCTGCAGACTTCCAAGCGATGCTGCTTCTGTTCATTTTGCATCAGTCGTGGCACAAACTTTGCCGCAATCCTCCTCATGTTCAGTTCCTCTGACAAAATTCGTTGACATGTACCATAACTTAGTCCCAAGGTGTTACAGAGGTCTTGGATGGTCAGTCTACGATCTTGCAGAATCAGATCCCTAACTTTTGTGACATTTTCTGGTGTTTTGCCCATTGATGGCCGTCCCGAATGATCATCATCATCAGTCAATGTTCGGCCAATTTTAAAACGCTTATACCAGTTGTAAGTTTGTGTCTGGCCTAAACTGTTTTCACCAAAAGCTTGCTTCAACATTTGGTGCATTTCTGCAGCGGTTCTCCCAAGTTTGAAACAGAACTTATACAGTCACGCTGCTCTCTCAGGTCAGCCAACGCAAAACCGCAAACTCACGGAAACACAACAATGGAAATACGTTTACCAAAAATAAACCCAACCACTCAACTCGACGCTGCTTGCCACACTGATTCAAGAAGGATGTGTGGGGAGGCACCCCACACATCCTTCTTCCTTAGCGGTATTTCGATGTACTCATAACCATTCATGGGCAAAATTCAAATTTTGGTAACTTTTGGATTGCCCCACATATGTAGAGTACAGATAAACAGTTATAGAATAGATGTAAAGTGTAACAGTGTGTTAACTGCCTAGCGACAATCCAGACATCTAGATCTTGTCTGATAGCTCATGTGGTTAAAATGTTAGTCAGCAAGGACATATCCCAGTCCTGCCTGATTGACATTTCTATATTATGTTAATATTAGGTAATGTATAAATATGGTGGTATATTTGTATCTAAGTCATTACTTTTAATTAACCAAACATAAGCACGTGGCTCAACAGTCAGTTGTCTGTGTCACTAGTGTGAAACAATTGTTACTAAATTTAGTGTACAGGAATTGTAGAATTTGATGTGTTTTGTTATATTTCAAATGAAGGTTGGAGAATTTGGGGCTTAATGCGTGGGAGCTGGAAGCTGCAAGATGAAGTAGATGGATCAGGATCACCTCAGTTTGATGCTCTACCTGCAGGTAATCATCAGCCACCAGCACTCTCTGTAGGAGGTGTGGTGCATATTGTTCCACAGAGAAAGAGAAGAATGAAATAGAAGGGGGAGAAGCCTTGTGGTACTAAATATGAATGTGATTCAGGATTCCTCCAGCTCTGAGAAGAGATTCATTCTAAAAAAGAACTTTGCCCCAAATCCTTTTCATAGGGCCAGACATGAGCATTTTGGAAGCTCTGTTACAGAAGAGCATTTCACCTTCAGCATGAGCAGTTGTAGATGCAAAGAGTAAAATAAAATTGCCTTTATGCCAGAACAGCATTCTGTAAAGGTTTCCAAGTGGAGTAGAGGTTGAAGCTCACTTTCTTGTCCTCAGCACAGGATGGAGGGAGGGGAGTGGCTACCTTCATGCTGTGGCTGCTTCATTTATAGGTTTCCCTGGTACCCATTGGGAAGTAGGCCAGATGGGCCCTTGGGCAGTTCTGAAAACGTAAAACTTAAATTTGAAGTTCAGTAATAAATACATTTGCAGGTCACCGCTAAGACTACACAGCCGGCACATTTGTTTGGTGGTTAGTACCCTAAAGATTACATTTCCTAACATGCATTCACAGTATTTGAAGTTAGAACATCCATTGTCATTAAACTACCATGACATATTTCTTTCATATATAAACTTTAAGTTTACAGAATGTCTGTTTAATACCCATATAAACTCCAGAGTTTTCAGTGGTCACATTGAGATTACTGGAAATATTCACTCTTTGATTTGTAGAATGATTTCAACATTTTCTGGTTCTAACCTCCCTGTAATGATTATTTTTTGAAGCCTTAGTATTTCATGCTGTTACGAATTCTTATTATAATACACTTCCACTGTACCTTAAACCAGTGGATTCATTATGGTACTTATAAGAGCCATACCACAATAGATCACACTAGAAGCATAGAGTAAAATTGAGATTTAAATTTTGACTGCCCTTATATATATACAATGCCTATTGAAAAGTCAATGGAAAGTCTTTTCATTTATTTATTACACTATATTGTCATTGTTTGTCGGTCACAGTAGTCGAGAGTTCTAAGGAATGTACTGTCTTCGCTTGCTTGGAAGTCGGGTTCGTGGGTTCGAATCCCACACAAGGCATGGATGTTTGGTATGTGTTTATTCTGTGCTTGTGTTTTCCTCTGTTTAGGTATAGGTCATGGGACAAGCTGATTACTTGTCCAAGGAGTCCTACAGCCTATAAAATGATCATGAAACTGAAAATCAGAGGCCAGGGCCCAAGGGGGCTATAGAGCGAGTGAAAAAAAAAAAACATCATTTACAGATTCAGTAGTTTAATTTATATTATAAAGCTATGTATAAATGCTTCTGACAGTGGCGTGTAGTAGTAAATGTGAGTTATTTTGTACAGTGTCCAATGACTGAGATTAGCTCTTTCTAACAGGACAAACTGTGCAAGAAACATTGCTCCCCCACACTTGACAATGGAAACATAGCCAGTTTCCATAATACATTTGAAAATGCTCAAGGTCATGGACAGTGTCCAGAATAATAGTCACATTTCTTATAACATAAAGCTTTAAATACCAACACAAAGAAACACAAAGATGAGAGTGCAATAATACGAGTACATGAATGCATAGGTGACCATGATTTGTTTTTGAAGAAAGCAGTCTTCTGGGATTTGGCACCATGTATATGTGGTGTTAACCGACGTTTCGGAGGAACGTATCGCCTCCATCTTCTACCCTGAAGATGGAGGTGATATGTTCCTCCGAAACGTCGGTTAACACCACATATACACGGTGCCAAATCCCAGAAGACTGCTTTCTTCATAGTCACCGCCGTGAAAGCCTCAAATCTTACATGATTTGTTTTTGCTCGCAGAGGTGAACCTTGTGGCGAAGTATGTTAGTGTATGGTCTTTTAGAAGTTAATGTTGAGGCATTTGTACCTACATTGTATTGTGCTGGGACCCACTGTATTTTATGTGATTTACTACCCCACCTGACTAATGGGCGCAGTGAAATGCCATTTACTTCGTGAGAGTTATTTGAATTTTTTGAGTACTTAACCCTATATTCACATACTCCTTGGTCCTGTGGTCCTCTAAGAACCTTGGCCATTCATCCATTATTCTCCATCTCTTCACTTTCAGCTCTCTTATGTTATTTTCATATCTTCTGGGCATCTCAGTCTAGGTTTTCCCACTTCCTGCTTTATTTGCAGAAATTATTATAGCCCCTCCTGCTTAACCTTTAAGAGACGGCCATTTAAATTCTGGTAGTGGTAGTGGGACAGAGTTAATTAAAATGCCCGCCACTGTAGAGTAATAAAAATTGTAATCATGTTACTCAAAATGCTGTGATTTCTACAATTTTTGTGATAAATGAACGAAATAAACGCTGCTTTTATCTAGAAAGAATATAGAATCAGTTATTGTAATTTACCGATTTTAAAATCTCTTAAAATTTTTACGCTGATGCCAAAAAAAATGTTTCCCTCAATTTCGAACGTCTGTGCACACAAATGCACACAGTTCCTGAACAAAACGTTTCTGCAGTCTGAATGCCTGCTGCTGACATCATTTTATAAGTATGGCTTATGTGGCAACGGGCAGAAGTTTATGCTTGCGTTCCTCATTCTCCAGTTCATAGATTCCTTTCGGTATGTGCACGAGTGTGGGCAAAGTCTAATCGTTCGCAGAAACACTGACTGTATTATCTCGTATAGACAAACAAGAAGTAGTCTGTTTTGAAATATAGCCGAGCAGTGTCAGAACGTTCAAGGCTAGCGTTGTGTTTAGCTGTCCACCATGGCCTCGTATTTGGAACTGAAATTGAGAATCAGCTTACAAATGACACCGATTCAGACTGTTGTACCGATGACTCTGAGAGTTGCGAGGAAGAAAGTGAATCAGAAATTGAAGTCGATGAAGAACCATCATCTTCGTCGGCAACCTGGTGACCACCACACCAGCGTGGCAAGAGGAGTGTGAATAATTATTCAGGTGGAGCTGTGGGCAAACTGTGGCAAACAGTTATAGCATCTGTCGTCGAACCTGGAAATGGACAAATAAACTATTTTTCCATCTCCTGGATCTGAACAGTTACAGCCTGTTGTCACGCAGAGAATTTCGTCTCGCTCTTGTGCGGAACATGCTGGAAAGGGTTCACTTCGCCCTCAACGGCCCAGGGGTTGAACCCCTGCCATTTCATTGAGATACCTTGATTAGAGGAGCTCAAACCACATCACTGGTCGACTTCCTCTACTTTGCAATTGAGGTGTCATGTGTGCTTTTCGCGTGGAAAACGAAGAACCGTCCGGACAAAGTGCGTGAAATGTGACGTCGGACACTGGATTTCCGGNCTGGAAATGAACAAATAAACTATTTTTCCGTCTCCTGGATCTGAACAGTTACATCCTGTTGTCACAAAGAGAATTTCGTCTCGCTCTTGTGCGGAACATGCTGGAAGGGGTCCACCTAGCCATCAACGGCCCAGGGTTCGAACCCCTGCCGTTTTATCGGAGATATCTCGATTATAAGAGGCCAAACCACATCACTGGTCGACTTCCTCTACTTTGCAATTGAGGTGTCATGTGTGCTTTTCGCGTGGAAAACGAAGAACCGTCCGGACAAAGTGCGTGAAATGTGACGTCGGACACTGGATTTCCGGATGTTTCCAAGATTTCCACACGAAGCCAACAGTCCGTTAGACGACGCAGGTGGGAGGAGAGATAACTTATAAAGCTGGTGACCAAAAATCATGTAAGTAGAAAAAGAATTTATAACTTAAAATTAGATTTTAAAAAGCCAGCCGCATGCGTGGACTGCGCGATGACATATGGCGTCATTCGTCCCCTTGACTTTATTTTCATGATGCCATATGGAGTCGCTCGGCTCTTAAAGGTTAATCCATTCTGACCATATGCCCCAAACTCTCCAACATCCTCCTTTTAATATTTGCTACCAGGTAGTTGGTTGAGGCACTGTGCTACAAGCCAAAAGGTTGCGGGATCGAATCCCGATGAGGTCATTGGATTTTTTTTTCAATTTACTTAATCTTCCCAGCCGCACTATGGCCCTGGGGTTGACTCAGCCTCTAACAGAAATGAGTACCAGGAATATTCTTAGAATATTCTTGGGGGGTATAGGGCCGGCTGGCATGTAAGGCTGACAACCTTACTGCCATCTATGAGCTGATTGTCTAGAGAATGTGGGACCCTTAACATCTCACAAACCTATGGGCCTCCACAGCCTGTTACAGGGATACATTTACTTTCTTATTACTTACCAGATCAGTTTTATCCTAGTTTCCTCTGCTTTTGGTTACTGACTCTTGAAGCACTGGTCAATGGTCCATACACTTCCCTAAAATTTTTCCTCTCCTACACATTTTTCACAAATAATTTTATCCTGTTGTGTTAGGGACTTGGTCTTTTAGTCACTTAAATATGGTGTCTAGATCACTGAGCTATGTAATGGGCACAAGGAGTTAAATGATGCTGTGCCAGCTGTGAGACATTGAATATGATATAAGTGGAGAGTTGGGAGGGAATGAAGAGGAAGTGGTTGTGGCCTGTTTAACCTTTAAGTGCCGAAGTGCCCCGTTTGTGCCAGTCATGAGTAAGGTCGTCATGGCCAAAGTGCCCCGTTTGTGCCAGTCAGGCATTTAAACTCCACTAGTGGAAGCGCGTGCACACGCCACTAGTGGAAGCACATGCAAAGTCCTAACTATTTATTTTTAAATGTAGTAATTACCAGACAGACTTGAGTGAAACCCTAATAGATGAATTAAACTGATACATAAATGAAAAACAGCAAATAAAAATATACGTATAAGTTACGCCAAAACTTATTCACGATCCAGTAATTTTATTGCAGATTCTGCAGATAGGTATGTTAAAAATATATTGTAAAATTCGATGTACATACCTTTTTTGTTGTTACCTGCTTGATGTATATATAGACTGAAATTATATTATAGTATTTGATTTCACTACGAACGCACAGAAAACAGATCGCACTCTGTGTCTTAGTCATGATGCAGCTGTATGCTCATTCAAATAGAAGGGGCAATAAACTTTTGCAGCTCTAACGGAAGGTCTTAGCACTGAAGAAGGGACCCCTCTAGCTTTCTCTTGAATAGCCATGCTTTCATTCTTTTGTCCTTCAGTCAAAAGATTCAAATATCCGAAGAGTGTAAGCAGGGCTAGCACAAGACTGAATGATTTTATTGCTTCCATCTGTTTTATGACACCAGGGACTGCTAAAATTCATCACGTGTTACAAACAGAAATGAACTTATAATGCAGAACAACTCTGTGATGATCTGGGAAACCATTTTTGCAGTACACATCAAAATTAAAACAAAAAATTGAAAATTGAGTATAACACTTTGTATTAAAAATTTCAAATCTTCCGTTATAATATGCGACACTATGTTCTTTGCTGATATAAACAAAGTTAATACCATCCATTTATCATAAAATTGAGCAAGATACAGCATTTTTAAACACAACGCTTAAAATTGATTAAGCGCCTAATAGGAACGGACATTTAAACGCAGAGTCGCGACAGGCATTTAAACGTGCACCAGCAGCGGGCATTTAAATAAACTCCGACCAGCTCAAGCTTACCACTATTTCGAAGTCCGGCGTTTAAAGGTTAAAGGTACTTTCCTCTTGATGGGAACAGCTGACAAAGATTGTGAAAGAAAACCGTAGGATATCCAGTTCTGTAGCCAGGATTTGAAATTAGAGTTTTATTAACACCAGTTATTCATATTATCTGAGAGCTCTGTGTGCCCAGTAATCTGAAGTTACCGTTTTCAGGATTATAAATATGCAGTGGGGTCCTCATGTAGTTCAGCATTTCTATAAATTGGATCTCTTTGTTCCTCAGGTCAGCACCAGCGTCTAGACTATGTTTTAAGAGAAATAAACCTTGGTGGAGGTTACTTGTCAGCATTAAGATCACATACTGCTTACTGGCGCAATTATGATGTGGCATATTTTGTTTTGACGAGACTGTTTCGTGATCTGGAGACTCAGCGGCTGCAGCAGGCTCCAGCAAGTGTCTCACAACAGTCACCAACATCATCAGAAGCTTCTTTGGCCAACATGTAGTTCAACAAAGTTAACTATATTTTTCTACTGAATTGTGTTGTAGGTTATTTTATGTGGTCCTTATACAGTATCCTTGTCATAGGTATCAAAGGATACTAACATAAAATTACAGTTCCAAAGAGTTGGCTTCTTTGTTTGTGTGTGTGTGTGTAAGAGAGAGACAGATAAAGAGAGATACTTACTGAATTAGTCATAAGAAAACATCATTAAACGAAACAGGGTCTTGTTGCCTGTGTTTGTGACTTAATAAATAACATCATCTTCAGTTGGAAGCACTGTCAGTTATGTTGTTAAAGGTTGAATATAGTTCAGTTCAGTGTAAAGGTGAGATTGTTTGATTGGAAAATGTTAAAGTTACTCAAGAGTTTTAAATTGTGAGTTGTATTCCAGTATATTGATATTAGTATTTCTGTCCCACACCTTATTTAATGGGGCCACGATTTCTTATCACATTGATGAAAGATATTGTAACGTGTTTCGAGTTCGAAGCTCGTTGGTCACGTGTGTAAGTCCAAATCCCACTTCTGACACCAGTGTAATGTGTTTCGTTACTGAATACGCCGTAGAGATCGTTAATTGGTTTATTGAACAATCTACAAATATCGGCTACAATTAATTATCACAATGTTATGGGTTTCCACACTTTACAAACCCTACAACAAAATCTCTTAACACTCTCTTCAAGAGTCTTCACGTATTAATAGCGCGGGAGCTATACAAGTCTTGCTGAATTACACACTCCAAATATAACTGGTTATCATGAACTATCACTGATTCTCGCACACGCGTCTGTAGCTCGTAACTTGCGAACTGAGAACTTGTTGATAACACACTGACTCTCGCTTGCTGCTCAGCTAGCTTTTATTCCGTTCGCTGTTGCTAGTTGTGACGTGGCGTATAGCCTAGNCTCGCCTATTACGCGAGTGCTACGTTACTGCCACGTGCCGCTGGGGAGGTAGGGGTCCTCGGTTGCGCAACATGTCACACTATGTTTACTTTCTTCCCTGTCTGTCTGTCTGTCTCTCTCTCTCTCTCTCTAATGTGGGATGAAGCAAATTCTGATAACTTGGGGAATCATTTGGTAGTGTGGAAGCATAATGCATGTCTTGCAAGTATTTTTGTAATAGGCAGCAATATAATGAGAAGTTCTGTGCGGAATGAAAACCAGCTGACCTGCACAGCCTTTGTCTTTATGGTTGGAATAGTTCAGCCTTTTGCTATTCTGCTAGATTGATGCCTACTCAAACCTACAAAATTGCAATTGGCAAGAAAATACCTGCAAGAATGACAGTTGAAAGGTTAAATACAAAATAAAGTTGTAGCATAAGGTTGAAATTATAGCATAAATCAGTAATATATCCTAATCCATATTTACATGAGCCCTTTCACAGGAATTAAAAACCTTGGGGTTTGTGTAGAATGAGTTTCAGTCAGCTTTCTGCCAAGTTGTATGTGTGAATAAAACTGAGTGGAGATGGAAGTAACCAGTTTATGTAGTTCGAATAAAGTCTGAATAGTGTCCCTAGCTCTGTACAGGTTCTTTAAATTTTTAAAATGTTTAACAGCTGCATTGTTTGAATAACATAATAAATGTTAATTTTATTGAATGAAACAAGAATGCAATAAAATAATTTGCTATGAATTGAAAGAAAACGTGGAAAACTATGGACAAAATACATATGAACAGTCAATCAGTTGGCAGTACAGTAAGGAGAAAAATTCAATTGAAAAACAGGGAAGTGTGGGGAGCTAGAAAAGATTAAATTTACAGGCATTTTCTTTTCATATTTTGATACTGTTTTTGTTCCTTTCAATGCAAAAGGCACACTCTGTTGCCTGGCTTGTATTTTTTTTTTTTTTGCTTTACCAGTTTATAAATACAAACCACTCCGTCCTATGTGACATATAAGTTTTTACTACGTGAAAACATATCTCCCTTACGTGTTTTGGTCCTTACGGACCATCTTCAGAGGGAACACCATTACAGACTGGAAACTACCATTACAATAGGTGTTTTGACTTAAAATACATACACTTATATCCTATGATGCACAGTACATATAAAGAGTAACATTTCACAATCACAGCAGCTTCCTGGTATTGTAAAGTTTCTAGATGTTATTTAAAAAACCTTTATTGTCAATAGTTAAAATTGACAATTGACTATTGACAGTAAAGGTTTTTTAAATAACATCCAGAAACTTTACAATACCAGGAAGCTGCTGTGATTGTGAAATGTTCGACTTTATCTGTACTGTGCATTATAGGATATAAGTGTATGTATTTTAAATCAAAACACCTATTGTGATGGTAGTTTCCAGTGTGTAATGATGTTCCCTCTGAAGATGGTCCGTAAGGACCGAAACGCGTAGGGGAGATAAGTTTTCACGTAGTAAAAACTTATATGTCACATTGGACGGAGTGGTTTGTATTTATAATTGTTAGTGTGACAGACCAGAATGAAACAAATCAAATTTACCAGTTTACTTTTCTTCCTTCACATAAATAGATAGCAAGTGGGTCTCAAATAGGCTCAGCAGTGGAACAGTACCAGTTCACTGTATTGTATTTATATTTAATATCTGTGTTTAAATTTGTTTTATAAATTAGGTAAATTTTTGCTTCATGTTACCTTTCATGTGAATATATATTGTAACGTGGATGGCGCAACATGAAGTAGGGGTCATGTGAACTCTGTCTTTCCACAAGTGACGTCACATACCCCCACTTCTCCCATCATTACGCAATGCTTGGTAAACACCCCTCTCCGCTAGGCTGTGACGTCACACAACAGGTGAGTCCATGCAGCGACTATTGCTAGGCAATGTGTAGGTAGAAACACCTGACAATACCTGATATCTGTTGCTGAGCAGCAAGGTGTTCTCTATGTTGTCTGTGCCGAGCCTAAATAAGGAGCAGCGAACACTATTCAGTAGTAGTGAGTACTGAGCCAGTTACTGGTATCCAGTATGAGGTGAAGTCCAGAAGCTACGAGTTGAGTTGTATCAAGTGAATGGAAATGACTACAGCAGAAGTAATTGAGTAATTGTGAATTGTGAAACTGTAAGAGCGAACGTGGAATAAATTCGCTATATCCAAGACGGCATGAAGTTATTTGTCACGTTACATACCCAACACGTGACAACATTTTTAAACATGATGTATATAAACACACCTCTGGCATGGCATAAGATAAAAATGACTTTTATAATCTTGTAAGATTTGAGGTTCTCACAGCAGTGGTTATAGAGAGCTCTAGTGGGATAAAACACCATGTAGTCTGTTGAATATCAACTGATGTTTTGGAAGAATGAGTCACCTCCATCTTCAGGGTTGAAGAATAAGCCAAGAAAAACCAGTGTGGAAGCAGGTGGCAACCAGAGAGAAAAAGACTTTACTCTTCATACTAATGGGAGTTAACCTTCTGACTGCATGTTCTTACTATGTCATCTCATTTGATGTTCATAAGTCAGCCTGTTGGCACCACATGCAGGAGAGAAAAGTTTATTCCAGATCTCATAATGATGCTTCCTCTCACTCATGTTCCATTAGGCATGAATTGACTGAGATTTATCATTTTGAAGTAGGTTTAATGCTATCATTTTTAGTTATGTGTAATTTGTAGTGTATAGAGATGGAGAATGCTGCTGTCTTGAAATTAGTTGATGCTATTATATCTCTTACACAGATATTACTCTTTATATACGAGTTAAAAAAATGTGATTTTATTTAAATATGATCAACCAATTTAGAACACTTTCAGTCAGTAGTACTCGCATTAATGTGAATTGCTTGCTGGCTGATCGTGAGTGGAAGGGAGGAGAGGAAATTTAGCCCAGCTATGGAACCTTTCTTGCACACCTATTTTTATGTGAAAAATCAGACTGAGAACCAACTATGGACAGATTATTTTCAGCAAAAGTCATGGTCAGCAGACCCATCAAATATCTGGTGAAATTTTGCCATAAAACTAAGTATTGCCTATATGCTCTTTGTGAAGAATCTCAAAGACATTTCCACTTACTTATATGGGGAAAGGTAGTCCGATTTATGAAATTTCACCATCTGTGACTTTATTTCAGAATGCAGGTGTCACAAATCAAGGAGTACCTGTAGCAACAAGATTTTTCTGCATTGTGATTACACTGAGAAGTTCTGAGTATGCATGGTTCAAATTCAGAAATAGTTTTAAACTTTATTACATTCAAACCAGTTGGAAGTTTGTGAGACTACACCTGCAGCCTGACAATTTTGCCCAAGAGGCAAGTTTCTGATATAATATTTTTAACACTAGAAATATTTAAGCAAGATTTATCTTTTACTTGTTGCCAAACCATTCTTTTCGGTTGTATGGGAGTTTTTTATTGAGTGACATGAACTAAAAGAAAAAGAAATAAACCCTGTACCATATCACAAATTTCCAACTATGAGCATTTAATAGAACAAAAGTTTTGTCAAAATTTCCAATTGAAGATATGACTGTGGTAACATGAACTTCAAATTTCAGAGCACATTTTATATTCAGTATATTCCACCTACAGTTCATTGGTGTCTTACCGAGTTTTTGGTGGTGAGACTGGAACTTGGAATAGATCTGCATAAAGTATCCTAACTAAACAGTGTTATGCTGTGTGCTTATGCAAGTGTGTACTATAGTTATTTTGGTGGGTGTTTCAAGTGGCATCTTTTAAATTTAATGTTATGGCATCATTGTCATCAGTTAATATGATGGCCGTACATCCTCAAACAAAGTGATTAATATTCAATCTCTGGTGGTAATGTATGGCACAGAGTAGCTGACAGAATTATTTTAATACTGGTGACTCTTCTTTGGTCAGTATTGTATTTGCTTTTTAGCATATTGTTAACTTGTTGTTAACTATAATATGTATTGAATGGCCGGCAGCTCTGTATTGTTTAAACTAAATTCTTAAATTACGAATATCAATGAGACATCAAATATTGAACATACTAAAGAAAGATTAATTTGGTAGTCCACACTGTATGAAACAAAAACATTAAGGAAACATAAACATCAATGCCACAACAACAAAACAAAACACAAGAAACAGAAGAACACACATCATTTTTAAAGAATTTTAACAGAATCCAACTTGATTTTTTAAAAAATAAACTTTAGACTTACACATGATGGGGTACCCAAAAGAAACCGAACTAATTTTTTTGTGGGCAGAGCTTTTGTAGTACCGCGTTTTGCCGCTATGAGCGCATAGAGCTAACATTCCTGAGTCGATAAGCCGACTACTGTTGCTCCAGAAGGTAAGGACTAGTTTCGGCAGAGTTTATAGTGACAACTGTTTTGTGAGATCGTCGTTTTTGCAATGGCTGATTTTCGTGAACAGCGTGCGGCGGTGAAATTCTGCTTTTTGCTCGGGAAAAGTGGAACAGAAACTCTTGAAATGTTAAAAACGGCGTACAAGGACGATGCTATGGGGAAAACTCAAGTGTTTGAGTGGTTTTCCCGTTTCAAAAATGGTGAAATGTCAATTGATGACAAACCTCGTTCTGGTCG